CTCCCGTTCCTGACAATGTCATGGGCTAAATTACAGCACACCTAAAAATACTGGATAACATGTCTTTTTTTTTTTTTTTCTTGAGATGGAGTCTCATTCTGTTGCCCAGGCTGGAGAGCATTGGTGAGATCTCAGCTCACTGCAACCTCTGCCTGCCAGGTTCAAGCAATTCTCTTGCCTCAGCCTCCTGAGTAGCTGGGACCACAGGTGTATGCCACCATGCCTGGCTAATTTTTTTGTGTTTTTAGTAGAGATGGGGTTTCACCATATTGGCCAGGCTAGTCTTGAATTCCTGACCTCATGATCCCTCTGCCTCAGCCTCCCAAAGTTGTGGGATTATAGGCATGAGCCTCTGTGCCCGGCCAACATGTCTTTTTCAAAGAATTAGCAGGGGCTAGTAGTAATTTCTGTTCAAAAACTATAAAGGTGTCTATACATAAAGAACTGGCAGGAAAATAAGGCCTCCCCAGAGGCCAGATCTATAAAAAGCACAAATCCTGCTGAGCTGGACCCCTGCCGATCATCAGGAGCCCAGAGCCTGGGCTTTAATGGACCACGCTTTGGGGTGGGAAGACAGGGCTGGAGCAGGATAAGAGGCCTGTTTTTAGACATTAAAATAAAGCTTGGATCTCAGTAGGGAAGCTGGGGGCCAAAACCCTCCCAAGGGGGAGGTAGAGGAGATGCATGCTTTTTGGCCCTAGATAGAGTGGGAGAGAAAAACCTCTGAAAATTTCCAACCAGTAGGCCCCACTTGTGTAAATTTGGGGCCAAACTTCATGAAGTCATTGAGCTGCAGAAATCACAGAGGCAAATGCACGCCTTCTCTTAAAAAATAGACTATTAGACCAGGTGCAGTGGGTCATGCCTGCAATCTGAGCACTTTGGGAGGCCAAGGTGGGCGGATCACCTGAGGCCAGGAGTTCGAGACCAGCCGTGGCTAACGTGGTAAAACCCCGTCTCTATTAAAAGTACAAAAATGAGCGGGGCGTGGTGGTCAGCACCTGTAATACCACCTACTTGGGAGGCTGGGGCACCAGAATCGATTGAACCCTGGAGGCGGAGGTTGCAGTGAGCCAAGATCACGCCACTGCAGTCCAGCCTGGGCAACAGAGCAAGACTCTGTCTCGAAAACAACAACAAAAGAAATGCCAGTGTGTGTGAGGGAGTGAATTCTCACCCTGAGTTGTGGGTCCCACCAAGGCATCGTCCCAGGCCTCCTGTCTGCCACCTTGTAGATACTGTTCAGCTGTACAGGCCACTGTGTGCTGCTGCCTTGGACCGGGGAGAATCCCCCCAGCAGAAAGCCAGCTGGCACTGTGACAGCCATCCCTCTGTTCCTGTAGCTAATGTGCAGCTGCTAGTGCTGGTCCCAGATGCTGCTGGGTGTCCATGCTCCCTGCAGAGGAGGTGATGTCATCAGAAGGTGATGCCTGCCAAACAGCCACCTTGCTGCCTTCCCAGTCTTCCCGCTGTCCTCTCGCATCCGCTCTCTTCCCTGCTTGGAGAGGATTGCCATGGCCTGGCCTGCCAGAGGCCTCCATGCAAAGAGTCAGAAATAAACAGGAAGTCATATTTCTGGAACACCCATAGAAGCCTCTTGACATCCTTCGTACTATGACCATTTTTCACTTGAGATAGAGGGGCTCAGGGAGGTGAGAAGGCTTGCTCAAGAGTTACGGAAGGACTCCAGCCTGTTTCTGACACTCTGTCTGCCCTTCCTGTGTCTAACGCCCTCAGAAAGCTGAGCCCATTATCTGTGTCAGTTTTTCTGTTTGTTTAAAGTCTTACAAGTACTTGGCTAAAAGACTTTTTCTCAGCCAGGCACGGCGGTTCATGCCTGTAATCCCAGCACTTTGGGAGGCCGAGGCAAGCAAATCATTTGAGGTCACAGGTTCGAGACCAGCCTGGCCAACATGATGAAACCCCATCTCTACTAAAAATTCGAAGAAATTATCCGGGTGTGGTGGCAGACACCTGTAATCCCAGCTACTGGGAGGCTGAGGCAGGAGAATCTCTTGAATCCAGGAAGTGGAGGTTGCAGTGAGCTGAGATCATGCCACTGCACTCCAGCCTGGGTGATTGAGCGAGACTCCATCTCAAAACAAAACGAAAAAGACTTTTTTCCTCACTGTATTCGTCTGTTCTCACATTGCTGTAAAGTATCTGAGACTGCATAATTTATAAAGAAATAGGTTTGATTGGCTCACAGTTCCACAGGCTGTATAGGAAGCCTGGCAGCCTCTGCTCTGGACGCTGGCTCACACCTGTAATCACAGCACTTTGGGAGGCCGAGGCAGGCAGATCACTTAAGGTCAGGAGTTCAAGATGAGCCTGGCCAACTTGGTGAAACTCCATCTCTACTTAAAAAACACAAAAATTGCCGGGCGCGGTGGCTCAAGCCTGTAATCCCAGCACTTTGGGAGGCCGAGGCG